AGAGGTACTATTCAGAGTTCCAGCTAGCCATTCCAGGATGTTCCAGCCTATATCCCATTCATTCTAATTTATATTTCCTATGTGCTACCTCTGGCATCCTGTGGTAACCAAAAATGCTCAGTTTTCATTTAATGACAAATGTTCTGATTGGTGCTTAAAAAGCAATGACAATGCAGTTTTATCTGGACACTATATTGCCACAGTTTCAATAACTGCAGTCAAGTGAACTCTTTTATTCACAATTCATATATGGAAGGAATCAAGTGTGGTACAATTTAGGACTGGAAACAGTATTTTCAGGTTTTCACTGTAATACAGGTTTAGATAATATACTTTGTATTGCTTATAAACAAGTTTGCAATTTCCAAATTATGATGCATAACGTTTGTTATAGAACAGATTCTGCTGTTTCATTTCTCTATAAGCAGGTAACTGACAATGCAAAATTATTAACATCACTGAAGAAGCAAATTTTTGCTAGTCTGTCTTCAGTATACTCTCTTCAATAACATTAACAACCAAAAATAAATGCTTACCTATATGTATTCTAATTACAGCTGAATAAAGCCCTCCAAATCATCTTACAAAAATGTAAACAATATATAATCAAACAATTAGAAACTAAAAATATTTTAAGAATTTAATAACTGTATAATGATTTATGCATATTCATCCAGTAATTAGATTAACTAAGTATTATAATTATTTTTTAAGCTGTCAACATCTATAAGCTTAGAATCTCAAGAAAACGTTATATAGGGTACACAAAGAAAAAAGCACAAATTCATAATATAAATTACAATCTTGAGTTTACAAGTGTACTAATAGTATGCTTTTGTTTTCCTCCTTCTAATTTCATATTACCATATTAGTCTTTGGAAGAACAGCAAACATTGTTTGTCAGTATAAACTAAAATGTTAATCAAAGAACTGAAAACTCATCAGATGCTAACTATGTATGCTAAATAACTGAAACAATGCAGTCAATTTAAACATTAAACCAAATCATAATAGGTTTTTCTTTCTCTATCAAACTTGATTCACACCTTTAAAAAAAAGATTTCTTTAGACTAGGGGTGTCAAACTGCCGGCCCGCTGGCTGGATGCGTCATGCCGAAACCGCACCCATCCCATTGCCGGCAATGGGAAAAAGTCATGATATGTCGTGACACATCACGTGATGTTGCAAGTTTGACACTCCTGCTTTAGATCAACTTTATTAAATAAGCTACAGTGGCTGAGTCCTAACAGCATGCTACACCACAAACCAAGTTTTATAAATCACAATTTTATATTAAAATAAAATATAAAACTGACAAAAATGTTTTTATATACCGACAGAAAAGTTTAAATTGACTCAGTAAATGTAACAAACAACATTTATTGAAAGAACATAGACAAAATTATACAATATTCAAATTTAGTCTTGGGTAATTCAATGCTATGTATTTCTCTAAGCAACTGGATACTCTCCAATTACCATGATATAAACATTAAGACAAAATCTCACCTTCATTTAGCAAGACTAGACATACTAGACAATATTTGATCCTTACAGATCAATTGATCTGACAAAACTAAACAAAGACTAGTTTAAGTACCATACTTCATCCCATATTTTGACTGCTTCAGCCACATAAATAGAAATAAAAAGTCCCCAGCACCCTTCTTTTCACCTCAGAATTAAAAAAACCAGATAAAGTAGTAGTTCATGTTGAGTGCTACCAACAAGCCAGATTGACAAAAACAGAAAGTATTTAACAGTTTTTAGAAAACTCCCATTATGAAAGTATTTGTTTCATCTGCCTCCTATACTATCTTCCAGGAATTCAAGTACAATACATCCTTTTTTTTCCTTTTTGCAAGATGCTTAAAGGATTGTAAAAGAAATTATCAGCTTCTCTTTTTAAAAATAAAAGTACCACAGACTTTACTCTGAGAGCCAGTATACTACAGTGGTTAAGATCTGGATTAGGTGTGGAGATCCAAACTCCAGTTTTCCCTAAGGCACAAAAACTAGTGGATGACCTTGGCCAATCACTTTCTCCTAGTCCCCAAAGAGCATCAGCTCTGTGACAAGCTGGCTGAAAAGCAAGCCCTTCATCAACTCATGCACCGATGGCTTTGCTGTGGGAACAAACACAAAGCAACCAAGCAGACCCAGCAGCCAAGCAGGACAAATGCTAAAAACAACCACTATCATCATAGACTAATCTCCCACATATCCCTTTTCAAATCAATTATCTCCACCAAGACAGGAGGGAATTCATGCAGAAAATGAAGGCCACTCCAATAACTCAGATTGGGTTTGTTTCAAAATAAACTTCTTAATCTCAGTTGTGTATGCCTAAATCTACTCATGCCCCCAAAGTCAGCAACATTCTTCTAGGACCCAATATTTAAAGGTTTACCTACGGATTACCTCTTTTTACTTCCTAGCACCTGGCATGATGATAAAAACAAACAAGAAAAAAATGGCAATTTCTACCTAGTAGTAGTAGACCATTAAAGGCAGGGAGGGAACTGTTGGTCAGAAAAAAAGATGCATCCTGAAAAAGACACATACAAGAAAACTGCTGTGCCTGATTGCCAGTATTTGCATCTTAAAAGTAAATTGCATTTCACATCAGAAGCAATAAACTACATAAATAATCATAAAGTCATTTTCACATACTTGCTGAACAACAGAATTGTTTTTACACTAAAAGGGCTAAAGGGAACAGAATAATAGCAAAAAGCAAAATCCACAAATTTGAACATCCCTTTACAGCAAATGCACTGCTTACTAAATCAATACTATACAAAAGTATAAAACAGAGTACACATGTCAATCTGCCTAGCAAGCTAATTAGCACAGTATTCTGAATTTTAAATATATCTGAAGTCACCACAAACTGGCACAAGACACTACTGAATGCAATTAAGATAACAGATCAGCAAGCCAATCAGAACTTCCATTTTGGCCTTTCAAAATGTTCACATAAACAAAAACTATGTTTTTGAGCCTATATTCAAACAACCAAGCAAATCAGTGGGCCAATGAAACCTGTATAATACTGATACTTTTTACATTTATATTTCACCTGTTTTTCTAAAGAAAGTTATACACGTAACAAAGGTAGATGAACTCCAACTTCCTTACGGGAATCTTTATCAAAAGAAACCCAAAATACCAGTGGTTCACTTTCTTGATAGTTGAGGAAATAAGTTCCTTAAAATCCCTCTTGCTTTGTCCCAAAACGTCACCTCCAGATCACCCTACCCAGCCTAAGTCAATAGCAATAGGGGCACAACAGGTCCTTCCAGCTCTACCAGCCTAGAAAGGAAAATTCAAAGTATAAAAACACTCCAAGCTGAAAGGCAAAACACTCTTCCATTCAAAAACAGTATTTTGTTTTGTTTTGTATTTGAACCAAAATTTAGTGAACAAATGCGTTTTATTCCGAGACTAAATTGTTTTGTTCATCCCTTTTCAAAAGTAATGTTTTGCTCCATTCAAAATGTACATATTAACAAAGACTGGCACAAAGTCTTTGTTAATACATTTATCAAATCATATTTTGTATATATCTTTTTAAAATTTATATAAGCACTTAAATATCAATTTCCTTAAAGTATGTACACAAAAAATTCAAGACACCTAAATGATTTAAATCCCTCTGCAATTTTTCTTACAAACTTAGTACTGCAAATTCAAACTGATTTTTAACCAAAATCACCCAGCTGTAGAATGATTATAATTATTCCTAACATAGAACAGAGCATTTTATCAAAATAACAAAAGACAGAATATAAGAATCTGTTGCACAATACACACAAATTTATCATCACAATTAAGTAGTGTAATTACAGCTGAGTTAAAGGAGGGAGTAGTTGCTTTATATGAATGTGTCATCAAATAATCCCATATTCATTCTGTAAAAGACACAGTTTTATGTCATAATACTTCTTTGCAGTTTATGAATTTCACAATTATACAGTTTCCTCTCAAGGCAAAGACATCAACATTTTATACTGTAATTTAAAATGACAAAGGTTATTTATACAAACAAAATTAATTCAGAATAATTATAAGTAGCAATTTTTTTTAAAAAAAAATCCAGATTTGCCAACAAACACATACACACAAACAACTTTAGGTATAAATGACACATATCACAGTGCAAAAATATGTAAGAGAAATAAAAACTCTTCCACAAAGATTTTAGAAAATTTGCAGTTTCTTTAACAATCTGCATATATGCATGTTGTAATGTAATACTAGCAATATTCAATATTAAACTCCAAATATTTTTCAGATATCTATGGCATAGATCAACAGTTGTAAAAGTTTCAGATACTATAAAGTATTTTTATGAAAATATTCCTTGAATCTTTAATGCATTTCCCTTGTCTAGATATTAAATTCTTTCCATTTCCAAAATCAAGCATTCAAATATACCTCAAAATAAGGTTCTAGAAAAGTATTGATTTTCAAAGAGCAAAAAAGAAAACAGCTGCTTCAACAGGAGTATATAATTAGTTAAGTGATGTATGGTGTTCACAGTAACAGAAAGGGACTTCCACGTAGCTTCTCTGCCTGGTCTTCACAAGCCCATTTTTCTGAATATCTCATTAATATTATTAGAAGGGAACAGAAAGAAATAACATGCCCTACTTCTCAGAAATGTTAAAGTACTGACATCCGCCATTTTCTCAGCAAAGGAGGAAGACATGTTGGAACAAAAACACAAAAGGGAGCAGCCATTTCTATTGGTACATCCCAGGAGTTGCCAGCTACCCCCCCTGTATTTCAGAAAATGATCAGAGAATTTAGTTGGGGGTATGAAGGGTGGGGGGGAATGAAGCAGCCAAAAGTAAAGGAGCCTTCAATATCTTTTATACATGCAGTTTATCATAACCCTCGGTAACATATAACACTTCTAACGCTGAACAAAGTAAACTGATCCTTTAAGAGAAAAGTAATAAATATTCCACCTGCCTAAAGCTATAGTTCTTACCTTATATGAGGGATGCCAACTCCCCCTTGCAGAATCTTGTATAGTTTGCTTTCATATAACAGCTGGGGATGCCTGGCCTTCTGTGATTCTAACTTCACAGCTACTTCCTACAGTGGAAAAGGAGACATGGGTCAACAGTCCTACTAGTTAGGAGGACTACATCTCACTGCTTTACAAAAACTGAGAATAGGGAAATTGATTTGTATCATTCCCTAGGTCTTAGCAACCTCTGCAAATAATACAATTTGTGTACAATGATACTTGTACACAAAACCCATTCTTAAAAAGAATGCTATCAGGCACCAAAAGTTACTCTGTAATTTGTTAAAACCATGTCCTATTTTTTGGGACAAGATCAGGATGACAACATGAAAAAAAAAAGTGCAGTCTTTCCACAAGAGTATTTTTTTACTGGTTCCCAGAAAATAATCAGAACGTTTATACACATGTATGTATTTTACTTCACACGTTACTACTCTACACCGAATGTGGGCATTATATGTGAAAAGGGGCACTTCCCGATCCTTTGAATTAAACACTGCAATCCCACAATCTTAGTTGGGTTGTTTTTTTTTTTGCATTCTCTGCCCACATCATTTTAATTCCTATTTGGCAGAAGTTATCCGCATTTGTTTCAAACGTTACCAAAATGCAAAATCGAAGCACGGGAACGGAAACCCAACGGTACTCTCCAAACCTAATTAGAGAGAGGAAGAGGACCAGATCTCAAAATAAAAGTGCAACCCGGGACAAACTGGACGACCTGGGCTTCCACTTCGAGAGAAACAGCCCTCCCCCCCCCCACCTCGCCGCCACTCTTCCCACGCAACTGACACCCGGCCGGATCCGGAGCGCACGTGAGCCCGCCCGAGTAGACGCGATCTCTACCTACTGGCGAGGCACAAGACATCGAAGGAAGGAAGGAAAAAAAAGGAAAGGCCCGGGCATCGGTCGGCCCTTACCTCCCCGTTGGTGATATTGATGGCCAAGTATATGTCCCCGAAGGAGCCCGAACCAATCTTCCGCACCAGCTTGTATTTGTTCCCGACAATGAACTCGGCCTTGGAGCCGCTGCTGCTCGCCATGGCGACGGAGGGGATGGGGGATGGGGGTTATTTCCCACAACGAGAGCCCGCGAGTTCTTCTTCCGGGAGCTCCTGCTCGACCACGGCTAGGGATGGGACACGGGGGTGGGGGGGACGCAGAGGAAAAGGCTTCGGACTCGGCGACTTGGATCGCGTCAGGCCTCTCTGGATGGTGGACGTCCCACGCACTTTCCCGGCTGACAGCGCGCTTTTCTCCTTCTGAGGAAACAGGGGCTCTCGGAGGGAGGGGGGAGGAAGGAAAGAGGGGAAAATAAAAGCCCAAGCGAGCCCGTCAGTCCGCCGCCACTAACTGGCGCTTCACTCGGCCGCCGCCATCTTGTCTGTCTGTCGCTCTCTCGCTCGCTCGCTCGTTTCCTTTCTCGCTGCCGATATCCAGGACACAAAATGCCTCCAGCCCGCGACCGACGCTTCTTCACCGCGCTGAGTACTCTGGGAAACTGGAGAGCAGACCAGCCTGCGCATGCGCCCCCCAAAGAGAGGAAAAGAGGACAAGCAGGAAGTATGTGTGATCTTAACGCCTTGGCAGGGCGAGGCCGGTTCAAAACATGCGCATGCGCAAAAGCAGCGGGCTTGTTCTTTGAAGCGGAGAAACCCCGCCCTCCCTTACAGGGAATTAGAATTACGCAGTTACCATCGTTCCACACATGCAAAAAAGGTTTGTTACTGTACCTTTCAAGTACAAAAAAAAAAAAAAGAGGGCTGGTCACGCGCATGCGCTTTCTGAAGCAAAGGGGGTTTAGGAACATATCGTGAGAATCGTGTGGCTAGTATTCTGGTAAACTAGATTAAGCCCACTTGTACCTATTTGTGTCAGTTATATTGTGTGTGTAGATATAGATATATAGATATAGATACACACACACACAGTATAACTGGTACAGATAGGAACAAGGTGTATGTGTGTATGTAAGAGAGATAAGAGATAACCTTTATTGTCATTTTTATACTGTGGGCAGGATGGCACACATCAAAAATGAAATTTAGTTGCCCGCTCTCAAAGTGAAACACATACATGACACACACCTAAACATACTATGAATAACATGTATAGACCCACATCCCTACATATACGTAGCAATACATATTAAATATTGTCCATCTTGAATATATAACGGAAGGAGGAAGCTTGAGAGTTCACAAGGTTAATGCTGTATGGAATGAAACTCTGGCTGAATCTGGATGTTCTGCTTCGGATATCACAAAGCCTCCTCCCAGAAGGTAACAAGGAAAACAGGTCGTGAAGAGGATGTGTAGTGTCCCAGACAATCTTACGGACCCTGCTCAAGCAGCGCTTCTGTGCTATGTCCTGGATGGGAGGGAGGGAACTGCCAATGATCTTTTCGGCCATTCTCACCACTCTCTGCACCGCCTTCCTGTCTGAAGCAGTGATGCTTCCAAACCAGACTGTGATGCTGTATGACAGGATGCTCTCGATTGTCCCCCTGTAGAAAGTGGTCAGGACAGGGGAAGGAAGATGTGCTTTTCTCATGCGACGCAGAAAATGCAGGTGCTGCTATGCCCGCTTCACCAGTTTCTCACTGTTGAGAGACCAAGTCAGCCTACTCGTTAGCTGCACACCCAGGAATTTGATGCTGGTAATATATATATAATATGTACACACACACACACACACATATACTGCCCTCATGTTCATCAACACTTTTTCTCAGGTAAAGAAGTAGGCAAAACCAAACCCAGAAATTGGAGAACTATGCTATTTCATACAGAAAATATAGTATGAGTATTATATATTAATTCAGCAAAGGTTAATCATTGTTCCTTCCCTGAGGTACATGATGTGATCATTATTTTCTCTTCAAAATGAGAGGATAAATGAATAATGAAGTGAAAGCTCTTAGGAAATTTTCAAAAGTAAAGGGATATTTATAGTGCTGTTTGGATACATCCCTTATGACAATGCAACCATTATTTATACATGTATATATAATTATCCCTAAGATTTTATGTGGCCAACAATAAAATAAAACCATAAACAATAAACATTAAAAATTGACAGGATAAGACATACAAGTAGTCCTCAATTTAAGACCACAATTGAGCCCTAAATTTCTGTTGCTAAGTGAAACATTTGTTAAATGAATTTTGCCCAATTTTATGACCTTTCTTTCCACAGTGTTTAAGTGAATCGCAGTTATTAAGTTAATGATGCAGTTGTTAAGCCATGGATTGTTTAACCAGTGCTTTTTTTGTAAAAAAAAAAAAAAGTGCCGGAACTCATGAACAGCTCCAGTCGAAAGCCCTTTACGGGGGGGGGAACCGCTTCAGGGAGCTTCCGAGGTGCTGATCATGTGAGCAGGGTCAGCTGATGGACGCCATTGCCGCGGCTTTTGAGAGGGCACTTGTTCGGAGCCGGCATGTCTTCTGCCACCTCGTCCTCCTCCGCCTCTGATGACACAGAGGCTTCCTCCGGAGCCAGAGGGACCAAGATGGTGGCGGTGCTGCTGCTTTGAGATCGCACCTGGTCCCTCGAAGAGATTCACTACAGGAGCCAGTCCTGGTCCCTGGTGGCCAACACGGGGGTGAGGACAGGCAGTGCCGGCGGGGGGAGCCCCATGAACCAAGGCAGAGAAGTGGGTCTGCTTTCAGGGCTGTGGAAGTGTTTCTGGGTCGACCTTCGATGCCCCCGATTTCCCCGAGCAGCCTCCTTTCACCAAGCCAGAGCTTTACTCACGCAGGCAGCTTAGAAGGAGCCGGTTCTTCCGTTCAAAAAAAGGTGCCAGAACACCGTTCCGTGCGTTCTATGACAAAAAAAGCACTGTGTTTAACTATATAGAATGAGCCATGCATGGCTGGACTTAGATAACACATACCACAATTTGCAACCATAATAGCTGTTTTATGCCACCCAGAATCCTTTGGCAGAGGGTGGATTATAAGTACTGTAAAATAAATACCCATGACCAATCCAAGAAGACTTTATTATGTATATAGCATGCCTCAAGCATGCAGAATTACTAAGAAAAGAATGCAAAGAAGAGCAATAAGCATGATGCAAAATCCTATGAAGAATAATTAAAATGCCTGAATAAATTTAGCTGAAGAAGGAGAGACATGATAGTGGTCTTCCAGTACTAGACTAGAGCTGCAGTGCTTATGAGTAGGACAAGAGGTAATAGGTACAAGTATTAGCGAGAGAGATTCAAAATGAGGAATTTCCCACTTTCTACATTTGCAGGTGCTCCATTAGAATAGAATAGAATAATAGAATAATAACTTTATTGCCACTTAGAACGTACACTAATCGGCATATATTAAAATGAAATTACTGGAGGTTTTCAAACAAAGGTTGAAAATATTTGTTTCAATGGTCTGAGGATTTATGCCTCTAAATTGGTTGTCCTACCAATCCTATGATTCTAAAGAAACTCAACATGTATGTGTCCCTTGTCCCATACCATGCTTTAACCAAGCTTTATAACTTAACCATATTGTCTGAATCTAGTTTGGCTGCCAGTTGTCCTTTCTGGAACCTGGAATTTCTGACCTCTGGAATTCAGTTGTATAGGAGTAATATACTCTGCAGTTCTGCAGAGTAAAGTTAGACAACAACAAAACAACAAGGAAATCTTAATTCTAATGCATTTACTTAGTCATTAGTATTTCTATGACACTATACTTCAAACTGAAGGTATTTTATTGTTTTAAATTTATTTTCCTTGCAGAGCTTATTCAGGTGAACGTATCAATGTACATTTAATTTTTTTTCTTAATTTATCCCATGTTATCGATATGCATACATGGCAAAATGGCTGAAATAGCTTTTGTTTAGTTTCATTTTGTTTTGTTTTTCCTCTCAATAAAACAAAAGCTTACATTCTGGATGTGCAGCTTATTCCAGCTTATTTACTTCCTAATATTTTGGTATGAATATGTATAGTAAGCATATGAATAGTAAGAATATTTTTGAAAATTTTTAAATGAAACAAATTGAGCTACCGTATGTATAGCTGCAAAAATCTATCCACTTCTTGATGTTACCAAAGATACAACTCTGATAGGGTTGCTCAAGAAAGAGGATGTTTATCAACTGAAAAAATAAAATGGGAAATTATCCTTCTTTCTCCACAAGAAGATTCATTCTAGGGCAGTGATGGTGAACCTTTTAGAGACCGAGTGTCCAAACTGCAACCAGTTTCTTACCGCCGCCCGGCTTGTTCTGCAGCCTCATGGCAGCGGCACTGTGCAGGAGGCGGCAAACGGCCAGTTTCAGCGCAAAGTGGCTGTTTGCTTCTGGCCACGGCCATTTGCCGCCTCGTGCGTCACACCCAATGCTGCTGCCACGAGGCCGCGGAACAAGCCGGGCGGAGATAAGGAACCGGTATACCGGTTTCTTACCGCCGCCCAGCTTGTTCTATGGCCTCATGGCAGTGGCATTGGGCAGGAGGTGGCAAACGTCCAGTTTCAGTGTGACGCAGCTATTTGCCGCCTCGTGTGTTGCGCCCAATGCTGCTACAATGCGGCTCGGCCGAAATCGGCCATGGAACAAGTGGGGCAGGTTTCGCCCTCGCCTGCCCATTCAACTACAGCTTTGGTGGGCTCTGCCTACAGAGCCACCAAAGCAGCAGGTGGAGCGCCGGCCTGAAGAAGAGACTTATTTCATGTTCAAACCAATTTATTGTGGAAGTTTCTCCATTTGCATTCCAACCTACTCATGCACTTCATTGCTCTTGTTTGCTTGGTAAACCAAGAAACTAATGATTGAACTTTGCTGGAAGGAAGAGGGTACTTAAAAATGACAGTGCCAAGTGACCAGTCCATTTCAATATTCTACAGATCAACCAGAGCTTCAGCATCAGTATCAGTATCAACTGCTGAAGCTCTCCAAATGCATTAAAAAAAAACAATCCAGATCCATCAGATACCTAGGTTAACTCATTTCTGCAGAAGTTTACTGCAACTGGCCAGAAAGCAATCTGGCCATGACAACATAGAGCTTTGCCATCTCACAGAACACCCTCACCAGTCAGAATACCAAATTCAGCAGATGTCCTGTTGCGTGCATGGAGCCAGATACAGGTTACTGTAGCTCAGTGGACATCATAGCAGATGAACTTCTGAATCACTGCTGATTCAACAATTGTGGTATGGAAAATGAAATCTCCCGGGACAAAGGCTCTAGAATTATGAGACATTACAGCTCTAGAGTTGTGAGGGATTACGGCTAGTTAAGGAAAAGTGTTGTTGAGTAAGGTGGACAGTACATGAACAGA